TATCATCTTGCTTCTTTAAGACATTATGAGATTCATTCCTATGATTACATGTAAGCTTCAAGCCATCCATTTTTGTTATACGATTTTTCAATGCTGAAATACTGCAGATCAACCCATCTACTGTCTAAGAACATTTGAGCTCTTCCTGATGTGAGAATAAGACTAATAATGTATTCCAAAGTGCATTTTCTACTCAGGTTCTTGAACATATGAGAAGATTTTCCTCTAGGGTTTTATACATGTGAGCAGAACGTTTGGTCAAAGGTTTGTGTACTCTTTGCCTTTATGCCACAGGGTTTCAAGATCACCCACCCAGGGTTTCTGAGGGTTCCTCCATGCTAGCACATGGTGTTCTCAAACTTTAATATTGTGGCGGGAGAGTGGGTAAGGTAGGGAGGAGAGTGATTTTAAACTGAGTGTTCCTGTTAGGCCCTGGGGTGGACAACTCCTCGAGCCATAGCACACCACACCGCTGCTCTGCTGAAGGATGCAACACCCAACAATTCTATTTTTTTTTTTAATTTCTAAAGGCCTTTCATTTATTTTTTATTTTTTTACATTTATTTTGTGGGGGGGGGGCAGCTCAGTCCACCAGGGGGCGGGGCTGGCTGGCATGTGGTGCTGGGGGATTGAACTGCGGTCCCTGTGCTTTGCTAAGCTTGTTCTAAGTAGGTGCTTTAGACCACTGAGCCATCTCTCCAGCCCCACACCCAGCAATTCTAAAATGAGAGCCAGGGACTGGGGAGCTGGTTCAGTGGAATAAGTGCTTTCCTGGCAAGTGCAAGGGCCTGAGTTCAATCCTCGGTTCCGCCAAAAAAGCAAACAAACAAAAAAAAAAACACCCAAAACTAAGTTTGTTATAAAAAAAGATGGTTTATATGGGTGGGAAAAAGAAGGCAAAGAAAGAGGATAAACAGCCACCACTAGTGGCTTTAGAACTCAAAACCCAGGATCTCTTAATCTTGGTTCATTTTACTGGGGTCTAGTGTCTTTCTATCCTCCAGGTGCTAGTGATAACTGCTTTGTCCTAACCTAGGCAGGTCAACCTATATTTTTTTTGGCCATTTTTTTTGTGCTTTTTGTAATGAATAAGTTGTGGGGGGACTATTAGGAAGGCAGCTTGCTTAATCATTAAGTAAAGGAGGCATGTATAGTTGTATCTGGTGTAATATTGTATTAATGTTTAAATGAGAACCTAGATATGTGTATATGTGCATAGGTGTGTGTGCAGTGTGCAGTGTGTGTATGTGTGTGTGTGTTTCATATTAAATGAGTCCTTAGGAGGGTGTCTTTCATTGCCCTCGCATTTTGCCAGGTGCGCGAGGGGAGCTGGCTTTCCTGGTAATTGTGTTTTCTTCTCCCTTTCCCGAGTCTAGCTAGCTCTTTTTTTGTCTTTCTAATCACCCTAACTGCAAGTCTACCAGTGAAGGCAGAAACTGCTTTTAGTGAGTTTTCTTATTGATCTTAATAAGGCTCCATGAGGCCTTTATCCTATCTTTTTCTTACCTACTGGTGTGCGTTTCTACATTCCTGATTACTAAAGAGGTCCTTGTTACACATTGACTAGCCATTTGGAATCTCTTCTAGGGGTGGCGGATGTGAGTCCGATCTTCTCCAACACTTCTACTATGTTTGTAATTAATGTATTCAATACTTTTTAAAAAATATATTTAATCATTTGAGGTGTTTTTGTGGTTTCTCATAGCAAAGTAGAGAAAGAAGGGTGCTCAGGTAGTGTAGACACAATAGGACTGAATTATTATTAGTCTATTGGTTCACAAAAACACTAAGTTCTAGAAAGAATAGAGACCAGTGGAATATCTTCTGTTTATCTTGTCAAGTTAAATACGCTCACGTCCAATAAACCAGAAACTTCCCTCATCTACCCAAGAGATTGTGTGCCCCAGGAGGCAAGTGCAGTTTTGTTCAGAGAAGCATTTTTCACAACTAAATAAGGGAGCAACATTCTGCAAATGACTCAAATGGACATTGCCAAGGAAGAATAAATAAACTGTAGCAACTTCACACAATAAAGTACAATTATATGAATATAACAGCAACATGATACATGAAAAGCAGTAAGCCCCATTATAAGAGAAAAGAGGAAAGTACAAAGAGGTAAGAGGAAATGTGGCATGCGACAATTCTGAACCTACCCAGTGAGATCCTGTAGACCCTGTACTAAATACATTTCATATATATATATATATATATATATATATATATATATATGTTCAAGTGATGTTTTAATTGGTCAGAATCAGTATGAAGAAAATGCATTCAAAGCACATGACCTGGCAAGAATTCTGAACCCAGACTTGGTTAAGGCACAGCTGGGTTCCTGATTGTAAATGGGGAAGAAGATTGGGAGCAGGGGCGAAATTGGGCAAGATTTGACACCTACGAGAAACAAGCTAGATTTCACAAGGACAGTTGCCATCAAAAACACAAAGAGTTAGGAAAAGTCTAGGTATGTGTTTAAAACACCAAATAAAGCACCAACCATAAACTATTCTGATCACTAAATAATTTGCAAATTAAAAGTCCTATTTACAACTGGGCTACTCTCATTGTGTACCAGACGAGCTCCAAGAAGTTCCCTAGGTTACATAATTACGGTCTTCACCAATTTGTCATTTTCCCATTTCTTGTCTTTCCTATACACTCATACTTCCTTCTTGCCAGGTCATGTGCTTTGAATACACTTTGCACACCACCCCCCTCAGTCTCAATCTCCATCTCAGTACGTCCTGGGGGCGGGGCCAGCATGGCACTCTGGGGATCCAACCCAGCTGCTGTGCTCTGCCTAAGCAGGCGCTTTAGTCTGCTCAGCTATCTGGCCGGCCCTTTAAAAGTGTATTTTAATAAATGCAGAGGCATATTCCTCATGGGTTAAGCTGATAGTTTTCTGTTGTTGCCTACGTCACTCCTCCAGCAGTGACTACTCAGTTATCCAATGATCATGAGACAACTGCATGTTACCGTCAGCCTCTGGAGGATCTTCCATTGGCCCATGTGGGAACTTCTCTATCACCAGCATGAACCTCTTGGAAGGTGATGGATAGTTAAGAGGTGAAGCCTAGTGGCAGATCTTTAGGTCACCGGGAATCTGGTGGTTTTACTTTGCCATGTGCTCTTACCCAAATGTGCTGCCCTATCACAGGCCTAACAGTAACAGAGCCCCTGGTCTAGACCAAAAGCCTCCAAAGTGTGAGCCCGAATAAATCTCTCTATATAAATTGATTTATCTCAGATATTTGTTAGAATGATGGAAAATTAACTAATACATCATACCTTTTAATTTATAAACGTTGACCCTTCTAGGAAGGAGGATCGTGATTACAAATACTCATGTACTTGTTCCTGTTTATTTAATGTTTGATTTTTATTTGGTTGGTTCATATTTTTATTAGTACGTACTTACAGTCCATAGTGATTTAGTACCTGTTTGTAGTACATTTACTGTGGGGAGTTGGTACACCTTCGTCATACTTTAATTTTTTTTTCCTCTCCTCTTTTCCCCTCTCTGCTCTCTCTGTCTCTTGGTCTCCTCCCCATTTGCATAATCTCTGTTTCTATTCTTTTAATTCCTTTTCTTAAATTTTATTTATTTATTCATTTATTTGGTATAGGGTCTCACTACGCAGCTTGGACTCGTAGTGATCCTCCTGTCTCAGCCTACCCAGCACTGGGATTATAAGCATGCACCACCATACCCGGTTTTGGTGGCTGGCCCAGCACAGGGCTGACAGGGCATGTGGTGCTGGCGATCAAACCCAGGTCCTTACACTTGTCAGGCAGGCATGTAGACCACTGAGCTATCTCCCCAGCCCTCCATTCTTTCAAATCTCATTTTAAATCCCCTTTCTCTTCTTCCTACTCCTTCCATATTTTTTTTCCTTCCTATTTGAAAAGAGATCTCTCTACTTCCTATTATCTATCTCTCATTTTGATTTTTATTTATATTTTGGGTTCATAAGAAAAACCATGCAATATTTGAGTTTGTCTCTGATTCGTATATTGTAATTTAAATTAATCTAATTAAACACATTATTGTACACTTTTGACTCTAAAATATTAACCGCTCACTCAAAATCACGAGCATGTTTCTGAACTTGTTATCAAACAGACTTTTAAAGACCTTATTAGTAGCAAAAGAAATACTTATCCATGGAAATATAATGTAGCCCATCAAGAATTTGATCTTAGGATATAATTAATATAATGATAAGAATCAGGTTAACTCTACTTGTAATGCAGTAAGCACATAAAATGTCTTCCTACTTTGTTAGCAACTACTACATCTATTAGAATCACACATGTTGGACTATAATGTATTTTGTTATTTAAACCTCACCCTGGACTCTGGTTTGTAGTATCTGCACTTGGTCTCTAAAGAGACTTTTTTTTTTACTCTAGGGAAGGGTCTACAGTGTGTTCAGGGTCTCACTACTAGATTGGACTCCTAGTGATCCACCTGTTTACAGCCTCCCAAGAGCTGGGATTACAGGTGTGAACCATCATGCCCAGTCTCAATTGCTGTCTCAGCGTTGCCCCAGAGGCAGGGCCTGCGTGGCAGGCCCGGGGATCAAACTCCTGGCCCCTGCATCTGCTTGCAGGTGCTTTAATCCACTGAGCTATTTGGCCAGCCCTAGAAAGAAATATCTTTAAAATAATAATTGTATTACATTTAATTGCCTGCAGAGTACTTATGTTTGAATATTCAAGTTATGTTTAGTGTTATATGACAGCATATGGTACACATTCATTATTTTTACTAAAATCCCAGTAAAGCAATGATCTACCAGATAGCAACCTGGTGACTAGGACAGAATGCTTAGCAGCTCCTGAAATCCTCACCCTCATTGGCCCCTGGGCCTTATTACTAGGGAGGAAGCGAGGTGAGGCTGACAGAAGAACAAAGTTGACAGAGAGAGGGAGAGAGAAAGGGAGTCTAGAGTAAAGTGAGGAGAGAATTTTGACAGCCTGGAACAGGGACACTGCTTGATCTTCTTTTGATTTGTGTTCTAGAGCCCATAAAAATCATTTTAATGGGAAGGTTGTTTAGAAGGTTTTGTTTGGAATTTTGAATATTTTTCAGACTTGGTGTTTTGGAGAGACCATATTAAAGGCCTGTTCTTAATTCTTCAGTGGAAGGAAAGTCATTTCTCTGGATACAAAATACCATGCTAAGGTTGACTTACACCATCTGAGACTGCAATCAACAGTGTGGTCTTTTCTTCTACAGTGAACAGAGGAATGGATGGATGAGCAGGTGAATATGGGAAGAAGGGAAAATAATCTAACAGTGTTTTATTGGAGGATGGGCCAAATAAAAATGAAGAAAAAACATACTTTTTGCAGGCAGTTAACATGCTTTGGATGCCTGAAGTTGTTGGTTACATCCCAGATACAATTTAACCAGGCAGCAGATGAAGAAAATGCTGAGAAATGAGTTCTCTGAATATAGATGAGACTGGTGTTTCTGAGGTACCTCAGGAATTGCTACCTCAGGTTGGCAAAAATGTGTTAGAATGTTAGCAAGGATGATAGAGAAACATAGACATAAAGCCTGACGCTGAAAGACACTCTGATGAAAACCCAAAGTAAGTCTGAATTGGGGCCCAAGGTATAAAAGAAATCGAGGAAGAGTAACAGAGTGAGATCAGACTGTGTCTCTTGACACTGAGTAAAGGCAGAATGACTTCCATGGGCACACAAAAGCCTGCTCTCCCTCATTTTTAGAAGATAAGGGCGGTGATGAGGGCTTTTCACATAGAAGAAGGTTCAGAGCATAAAGAAAAGGAGTGGAAAAAAATTTGTTTAATAAACTTTATTTATTTATTTATTTATTTTGTAGTACCAGGGATTGAATTCAGGAACTTGTGCTTGCCAGACAGGTGCTTAGGCTGCTGAGCTATATCCCTGGCCCAAGAGTTGTTTGATATTAGTAAAATAAGATAATAAGAAAGGCTAACAGTAATTATGTCCTTTCCAAGGTGAATCGCATGAATATTTGAAAAAAAAGAAAAAGGGTACCTGAACCAAACGACATGCTCAACCCAAGATTCTAAGATATTTGTGGCTCTTTATACAGGGGTGGGAGGGAAGATATTTACTTTGGAGGAAGTGAAAATTTGATTTCTGTTTTTAGAAAAGTCTAGATTGAGAACAAAGCTAGAGGTCTGTGAATGAGAACATGCAAAATGAAAGCAGAATCGTACTGATAAAAGACTCAGGGGTCTACTTTTAGACCAAGAATAAAAAATTGAAACCCACGGAGAACAAGCTTTCTGAACTCCCAGCTGGCTGCAGACCTTCCTCCACCCAGTTCCCTTGCTGTCTAATGCTGCTCTGTATGTCTAGTGAGAATGAGTGGTGGGGTGGGGCAGTCCTCAGGAGAGAAGGCAGCGACGCCACCTGGCACCACACTGGTATCAATACCATCCCGAACCCATAAAGACATGACACAATTAACACTGTCTGTACTTGTGAGACCCAAACTCTCAGAATCAAAGCTGTGCTATTTTGAAGACACACGTTAAATGATTCCACGATGAAAAAAAAGCTCAGGTGTTATCAGGGAGAAATCCCTGGATGAGCGTGCATTTTGGGTGTCTTCCCACATCATATATCCAGTATATGATTTGATAAATCCTTCTTGGATTTCTAAGACATCTTTAGAGATACTGCTGCCACTTTTCTTGAATACATGAATTCTGATTTGAGCAATATTTTCCCAAGAAGGGATTGGATGGGAAACCTGGTATGACGCAATGACAGCATGCATCATATCAGGTGACCAGCAAAGCATTCGATAACATGCCTCTGCACGTTGAAATTTATAATCAGATATCGTAAAGGAACTACCATGGCATTTTGGGAAAAGAATACAGAAGACAGTATAAAAGACAAACAGAATATTATATAAATATTAATATTATATAATGTTAAGTAGTATATAAATTCTTGCATGGCAACATGTCTTCTATAGGCTAGTATTAGGTGCCAATTCAACTTTACTGAGTAAACAAATCAGTAACTAAATGAATAATTATGTGTTAAAAGCCTGTCAATTATTTAAAGATTTAAAAAATGATCAGATTAACTACGTTAATATGAAAAAAAAAGGAGTTCTGTTGAGGGGAGAAGAAATATAGTTTACTGGAGGCAACGCCATGCTCGGTAGAGAACTACTTGGGTGCCCTAACTATGGAAAGAAGGGGCAGCTTTGGCGTGGGGCAAATCCCAAGGCTTTTATTTTATCTGCTCAGGGAGGAAGTGCGTGCCTTTTTCCACCTTCCTGGATATAGCATCACAGCAGTAAAGGTAGTCAGGCAACCAAGCAAGTGTTAGTTCCCACTATGCAAGTAGCTACCAGACATCCAACAGGACTTTTTACTTTAGATTCATACCGTGTGACTTTTTTTGTCAGATCATCTTTCTTCACAACATTTTTATTCTCATTAGACAGTGTTAAGTTGACCTATTAACTAAAGTGGGACCAATGTTTTGATTAAAATGACTATAAGGACTAATATCCAATTTTAAAAAACATTTGATTGGAGGACAAAATGAAGTTGGACTTACTTTATTTTTGATTTTTAAGAAATACTAAATAAAAAAGATGAAAGAAAACAGATACCCTTGTATTTAGTATATGTGCTGCTGAAGCGAGCACCCTTGTATTTAACTTACATAAAAAATCTTTCTTGGCAAAGAACAAATTAAAACCAATGCTATATTTAAAATAGTTGTATTTGATTATCAGAAAAGTCTTCACAAAAAGTAATCTGTACAACTCACAAATGATAGTGATCAAAAGCACTATTAATATAATCCCACCGTGATGCCACCCATAATTTATACAACCGATAGATTCTCACCAGCCCACCACCAATGACGGCGACTTTTCTCCTCTGATTGTCGGATGAGTCCATAGCAGCGAAGCGCTTTCCACAGTCGGAGCTTCTGTCACGAAAGGCACACTCACTCCTCCTCCACACTGATTTCGTCCCGTCTGTACTAACCGAAGTCTTCATGAGCCAGCCTCCACTTTTGGTTAGGGCTAACTTCCCTGGCTAATACTTTACTCATTTGTAGTCCAAAGTACAATCAATTCAGCTTTTTTTTTTTTTTTAAGAGAATTTATCACGTTACCAAATTTTGGAAAGTCCAGCCAAAGGAAGACACTAACCAGCCTTAGTGGCTTTTTTTCTTTTGTTTTTATATTTTCCTGAGCAAGATACTTCCTCTTTTTGAAGCATTGGTTACTAGAAAATTTAAAATCTAGAGTGTGCATTACCACTAGAGGAAATGGTTTGTGACAGGATTCTGTAGTCTAATTTCTGGCTTTATGTTATCTAGTCACTGTTGTTTTTCTCATCTCATTTAAAATTAGTAACGTGTGTTTCTTGTGCATAGGTGCAAGTTGTAATTTTTCCTGGAACATTATGTGTTATAAAATAAAACAAAAACATAAATGAACAGGGCTTTTCATTTTCTGGTGAAAGCAGGAAGAATCCAACGTGATTTTACACTAGCTAGGAACTAGAATTAAACACCATTCAATAGTGACCTCTTGTGGAGTATGATTAGAGTTGCTAGAAAACTTTTCCGTGAGGTATTTTTATGTATTTATTTTGAATATGTAATATATTCACATAGTGTGAAATTCAAGACAAAAAAAAGGATGTCTGGTGAATAGTAATTCTTCTCTTAATCCTGTCTCTTTGGCAATTTATTTTTCCTCCATAAAGATAACCACTGGCTGGTGGTTTCGGGGTGCAGCTTACTCTTCTATAAACTTATGTCTGTCCCTCCCTCTCCTTTTTTCTTTTTCCCTTCTTCTTCCTTATATTCCCTTTCTCCCTCCTGTCTTTCTCTCTCACATGCTCTTGATCGTCCTTCTTCTTTTCTTTTAAAATAAATTATAGCAAATTTTACAGTCCTTTCCACATTCTAATTTTTAAGTTTGCAACATACAGTTCAAAAATTCTTTACTATTTGCATATAGAAAATTACATCTTTTAATTTTTTTAAAGTTATGAACTCTTACAAAAACTAGAGGACAAATACAGAGTGTTATGACTATAACTTACTGCAAAACAAAAACCTGTCACTCAGGTCCAGAAAGAACATTGCCAGAATCCAGTCCTTGGGGCTGGTGAGATGGCTCAGTGGTCTAAAGCACCTACTTAGAACAAGCTTAG